ACACCTGTCACAGAACCAACAAGAGTGAACATACTGTTAGCTTCTAATTGTTAAAATACAACGTAACATTTCAATCATATTGATTTGAACCTGAAATAGAACAATAGAGATAAGTAGATTTCACTAATTCAATTGTGACTTACCATTGAGATCATATCAATGAAAACCTAAAAAAATTATTGGTTTTTACTTATCAAAGTGTAACTTACGTGTAGGATCATATTGGTTTAAACATAAAAGAGAAAACAAGAAACTATTAATTTGCTGTTATTGAAATGTAACTTACGATTTGTGTCCAATCGATTCGGACGCAAAACAAAACAAAAGCAATCATTATTATTCTATCTATTATGTGAAACTCACGCATAGCATGGTAAGTTCATTTTCTCAGGAACTTCGAATAAAATACGTACGAGACAAAATTCATGGAAATTTAATTTATTTATTTCAGGAATAAATAGAGGAAATTCATTTTTTTGCAAAAGATTATATACATATACATGTGCATTGAGGTTGGGTTGGGTGAGAAAATTCATTTTGCTATGAAAGCCTATAGATTAGGGTGTAGATGTGGTGTGGGTGTGAGTGTATCTAATCTTCTCTCACACTCACACCCACACCCAATATCACCTATATAGCAATTTTTAAGACCAGTAACAGTTCAGTTATGATTTTCTTTTGTATCTCTAAATAGAGAATAAGAATACCATGTCTAATGTTGCTGTAACTGATACGTACATAAAATAATAAAATATGGATTCTTTTGTATACGATCAATTTAAATGATTCTGATGATGGTCTCATTATGACCGAAAATTCAACAAGAAAGAAAAGGAAATATTTTATCATATTACATTTATTGTTCTCGTTATGATACATAAAAAAGGAATAGAAAATAAAAAAGTGAAATAAAGAATATATACATTAAGAATGAATCAAATGTTGATTTATTAAATAAAAAATTATTTTTGCACTATGATTTCATTTAAATTGATCGTCGTGTTTCCATTGACGTATTGGCTGATTTTCTTAAAGTTGTTGCTGTTGATTAAGAATCGACTTCAAGAAGATTTGCTAGCATTAGCCAGAGTCGCAATATAACGACAAAATGGATGAGAAGCATACCATCACCCTCGATAATGATGTTTATTAGCTACTTTACATCTCCAGAATGTCACTACTTTACATACAACAAACGCTTATAGACGATAAAAGAAGAAAGAGAGAAATACACATTGGGAACAATAATGAATACAGGACAGCACAGGAAATGAAAATAGAGACAAAATAAAGAGGAGAGAGAGGGAGGATAGAAAGATTAGTGGAAGTCGTCATTAATATCGGCACAGATGGATTCTATTGGTATTCGTTCTTTCTTTTCATCATCATCCAACAAGTACGTACATTTTTATTTTTTTATTTATCGAGGACAAAAACAACGCCGTCATTATCATCAGCATTATCATCTAAATGAAAAAAATCCAATACTCCAAATCAACTGCTAATGGATCATCCACGACATATAAGCCAAATAAAAAAAAATATCATAATCATTAGCAGCAGTTACAGCAGTACCAACAGCAATAACGAGCAAAAATGCCGTATGCTCTCAACATGGTCGTCGAATTATTCAAAATTTTCTTCTCGTCTGACTTGATGCCAATATTGATGAATCAAAGGAAGAATTTCAAAATTCGTTAAAACACTTGCAACAAATTGCAGCATCAATTACAACATTTACGGATACTCAAAAATGTTTCGTTTATCTTAGGGGTATTACATAAGAAAAAGCATTTATGATCGTGTCAGGCTCAGTTGAACGAAAAATAATACCAGATATTGAAGCAACGCCACAATTAGATTCCCTTTATGTTTTCTGCGGTGATCAATTTTATCATGAGCCATGGGCTAATAAAATATCAAAAATTAAAGGTGTTTACACAAAAATTGAACGCATTTGTGAAGAATTAAAAATCGAGCGTAAACAATATGATCGAGCTATGATCTCGATCAGTTATAAGCCAATTAATCCATCATTTATGTACTCACAATTATTAAAAGAAGTGTTTTGAGAAATCGAACATGATAATAGAAAATCAATTAAAGAACTTGCTGCATACTGTCGAGAACAGGATGATATACCTGAAGATCAGATTAGGAGTTTGAAAGGTGAATATTGTGATCGCACCCCAATTTGGTGGTATACCGCTGAAACTTTTATCTATTCTATGCTTAATCGTAGGCTTCGACTCATGGATATCAATATAATGCTCCAGATAGGCTTTTTTATTCGCCATTTACATCAAGATATTCAAAATTTATATGATAAACAACGGTTAAAAAATATGACCTCGACTATAACATTATTCCGTGGTCAAGGTTTAGCTCTGGAAGACTTTGAAAGAATGAAAAAAAAGCGTCGGTCAATTACTGTCATTCAATAATTTCCTCTCGATAAGTCGCAAGCAAGAATTTTCGTTTGCAATTTTTGCACGACCAGCAGCACTTAATAATCCAAATAAAGTGGGCATTCTCTTTATTATGACTACCGATCCCTTAATATGTGCCAAATCACAAATTCCATTTGCAGATGTTAGTGAAGTCGGCTTCTTTCAAGGAGGCGAAGAAGAAATTTTATTTACAACACATACTATTTTTCGTATCGATCGAATTCAACAAATTCACGACGATCATACAGATTGTCTATGGCAAGTTCACCTTTCCCTTATGGATAATGAAGATCATGACTTAAGCAAACTCACAAAATACATACGCAAAGAGCACAATTGGACAACTGGATGGTCGCGGCTTGGTGATATACTTATTACATTGGGTGAGTTTGCAAAAGCAGAAGAACTCTACACGATCCTTCTCGATAAACCATCTTCCGATAACGATCGAACGGATTACTACAATCAACTTGGCCGTGCGTATTTTTACATGAACGAATAGTCAAAAGCACTTTCATCGCACGAACAAGCACTTAAAATCTGGACAATAACTCTCCCTCGGAATCATCGCTGCTTCGCTTCTTCCTACAGCAACATCGGTTTGGAATATGGGCGAGTACTCGAAAGCACTTTCATTGCACGAACAATCACTTGAAATCCGGAAAATAGTTCTCAATTCGGATGACCCGGACTTCGCTATTTCCTACAACAACATCGGCTCGGTGTAGAATAACATGGGCAAATACACGCGAGCACTTTCATGGTACGAACGAGCACTTGCTATCGACAAGAAAGTTCTCGCTTCAGAGCATCCTGACTTGGCTAGTGATTACAACAACATCGGTTTGGTTTATGATAACATGGGCGAGTACTCAAAAGCATTTTCGTTTCTCGTAAAAGCATATGATATTCGCAAAAGAGTTCTTCCTCCAAACCATCCAGATATAGCACATCTAAAAAGTAACATTGAGCGTATAAAAAACCAAGGGTGATTAATTTTTTGAAACGAAAATAAATTTGACCGTTTTTGGCTTCTGGCCCGCGTTCATGTTCACCGTCAGTAGAACAATGATGATTCGTGCATGCGTGACCAGAGATACCCTCCGTACTCTGTTGGGTTGTACAGTGGAGAAAGTCATCAATGCAATATCTAAGCAAACGAACGATGATCGAACGATAAAAAAAAGAAAAATTGCTGGATTATTAGCAATATTTTCAATCATAGCTCTTGAATTATGTTCTGATTTATAGGATTTATAAGATAAGTATAAGCATTAGTTCCAGTTTACGTTTAAAGAGCAATATATATCCATACTCTACAGATTCTATTAATGTTTTGTTATATTAATGAAATATCAATATAACTACTTTCAACAAGTAAATATTTCTTGATAAAAATGATACAAGGCAGACAAAAAAAAAGTGTAAAGAAAAAAAATAAAACAAATTTAAAGACATGTAAACAATATGTATTCGTGTTGATCATTCCTAATAATTGGAAGTGTTGAAATTACGTAATATGATGAATACATTATTTTATCAACATGTATAATATTGTCATGATGAGCAGCTAACTATAGATGTTCGACTACATCATTTATTATAAGCATAAGATCTTTCACAGATTGGATATTGAATGAAGTTCCACTAGTAGATATATTAACTAATAAATAAACAGCTGAAAAAAAAGAAACATTGAATGAATTATATTACAAATCAAAAGTACAACGATAATATCATTTTGATTTTTTTTCTCTAATAAGTAATATCAAATCGAAAAAAGTCAGGAGTTAAAGAGTAAGAAACAGTCTAATTTTGGTCACATTTTAGTTTGCCATCCAAATAGTGAAGAAGCAAAATCCTAACACTTTGATTTTAGAATAGATGAGATCGTCAACACAGGTGTTATCTTTTCTTGTAAAATGCTTTTTTCATTATTTCGAAGATTTTTGGCACAAGTGAAGCCACACTTGGAACTTCTGACTCTCTACGGATCTATATCACCTAGTTTCTGTTATTTATTGGTACATACTGCATTTTACTATTGCTTCTAATATTAATATTATATGGATTATATATATATTCATCACTAATTTTAATACATTAAAATGTTTTTTCTAAGTACCCTAATAAGGAGGTTGAAATATCAGAACGAGGGAGTGCATTAAAACGCGATTTTTCAGATATTTTTGATCGTGCATAATGCGTTGAATAAGAGAGAGAACGAATTTTTGTAATGCGTCATTTCATAATTATCGTTTTTTTTCTCTTTATGATTTAGAACGTCATATTTTAGACCGGGCATACATATTCGTGTATTCGCGAATTGACTTTGTCACCTTCCGTCCGTTGTTCTATTCTATAGCCGCTGTTTCTTTGTTTCTGTTGACTGGTCCATGACTACTGTCTGCTATAAAAAGGAGTATAAATGAAGGTAGTACACTACTAGAAATGTGTAGATAATCTAATACCCCCATCATGCCCATGAAAATGAGCGACATTCACTAAGTTCGTCACAATTTGCCTACTCAAAAATTACTTGTTATAAGAGTTGAAAATTGTGAAAAGTAAAAATTGAACATATACCAGTGTAACTCAAATTATACTAAATGTTTTTCATCATCGTATGATGACTGAAATAGTTTTATAAACATATGAATGAATCTAAAGAATTTGTTTTTTCATTTATTCTTAATATAATATTTTGTATTTGTTTTTCTTTTCTAGATAATATTAAAATTGTCGATATTAGCTTCGTCAAAGCACATTTCAAAACTAAAATTTAAAAAAAAACATAATTCGAAGTAAAATATTATTGAAATAAAATTCCAGTTAGACTCAAAAAAACGAGATTTAATCCGACATACAAAAGAGAATGAGACAGACTATGCATATTTATGTCATTTTGAACTTCAATCTTTTAAAAAACTCTCTTTTGATAAATATTCTTTTTAATTTTCACTTGCAGACTTGTCTACCGTTGGTTTTTTCGAACACTTCAGCTAATATAAGGCTTATTAATTCTAGAATCGATACGGTTTTATATGAGCACTGAGTATTAGAAAAAAATAACTCTTTGTCTTATATTCACTATTCATATAAAAACGTATGCATTCCAGACATCAAGAGATATTAACACAGGTCAGTGTCTAAAATTATTTATTGATTCACATTTGAAATCTCTAAATAAGACATATAGCGTCCAATCAGAAATTGCTTCAAGTGTCTTGGTTTTTTCTGAGTGACCTGTTAACTTGTATGTTAGAAAATAATCAGACTGTGTACATTGTACGATTATCTGCTCCTTAATTGGAGAATTCCACAAATCGAGAAAGATATTGGCTAGTCTCTTCTAGAATTGCGAAAATAGGGAAAATAAGTTTAGTTCGAATCACTGACAAAACGCAAAAACATGATACGTGCACATGGACGACAAAATATTCAATTCACTAGTCCTAGTCACCTTAGCAACGCAATATTTCGTGGATCAATGAATTGCTGCTACCATGTTAGAGGAGCATGCTATTGAGATGAAATTTTCATCATCGGACATAGCTTATCAAGCTGTAATTGAAACATTCTTGTAGGCGAATCACCTCGATGGGTGTATAGTCTTCTATTCATCTACATCTACTCTATGATATCCTTTTTATTCAATGAAGTTCTAATAATCTATGATTCATGTCTTTTAATTTAGACTTCTGGTTTTTCAATGATCGCACACCAAACAACACAAGATAATTGTTTACATTTCCCAAGAAGTTCAACATCAACAACGATGATGATTGAATCTCATTCACAATTATCGACTAGCAGCGAGATGAAACCAACAAAGGGACAAATCAATGCATCAAGTGAAACATTACCTAAATATCCTGTACAATTTACAGCTGAAGATTTACGTACACATCTTGAGCCAATTATTCAAAAAATGATTGTCTGTGAAGATTCATATCCATTTCGTCAACCGATCGATGCTATGACAATAATAACTAAACATCCAATGGATATTTCAACCATGCATAATAAATTATTACATGGAGAATATAAAAATCCATTAGAATTCTGTGATGATGCATGGCTTATGTTTAATAATGCATGGCTTTATAATAAAAAAACAACACCTATCTATACAATGTGTACAAACCTTGCGAAACTATTTGTCGAATATTTTGATCCTATTATTCAAGCATTAGGTTATTGTTGTAGTCGTCAATATGTATATTTACCAAAAGTTATGTTATGTTATGGAAAGAAACAATGTTGCAGAATCTCACGCGATGATAATTATTATTATTATGATAATCCTGAACCATCACGATTTAATCTATCCAATGATATATATACATTTTGTGCTGAATGTTTTCATTCAATTAAATGTGAATCAATATTGGTCGGTGATGATCCAACTCAAACATTAGTTGAAATACCAAAGACATTATTTATATCAGCTAAAAATGATATACAAGAACCTGAAATCATGATTGAGTGTATTGTTTGTACACGTCGTTGGCATCAGATATGTGCATTACATTTAAATGAAATATGGCCTGAAGGTTTTATATGTAATACATGTCTACGTCAATATAATATAAAACGTAAAGAAAATTCTTATATAGCACAAAAATTAACAGTAACTGACTTATCATCTCAATTAGAACAACGTGTTAATACATTTTTATTTGATAAAAATTGTTATGAAAGTCGTGTTACAATTCGTGTATTAGCTTCTAGTGATAACATATGTAAAGTAAAACCACAATTAAAAAAATATTATCCAAATCAAGTAACAGATGATGGTTATCCGTATCGAACAAAAGCGATATTTGCTTTTCAAGAAATTGAAGGTGTTGATGTTGTTTTCTTTGGTATGTATGTACAAGAATATGATGAACATTGTCCTGCACCAAATACACGTCGTGTATATATATCATATTTGGATACAGTACATTTTTTTCGACCGAAACTTTATCGTCAAGATGTTTATCATGAAATTGTAATTGGCTATTTGGATTATGCTAAACAACTTGGATATATGTATGCTCATATATGGGCTTGTCCTGCAAGTGAAAATGTGGATGGTATATTTTATTGTCATCCACCTGAACAAGATTTGTCGAAGCCAAAATGGCTACAAGATTGGTGTAAAAAGATGCTCGATAGAGCCATTGTAGAACACATTGTTATTGATTATAAGGTAAAAAATTATATATGAAATCTTTTTTAATTGAATCTACATTGATTTTCAATGACGTTATTAGAAGACATCCCAGAATTCTCGCAGGAGCTTTAATTTTTTTGTTTCAAACAACATATAAAACTGCATTATCTATGTGTTTGAGTTAATTATTACATTAGAAAGTATCATGATAAATAGATAACTGTTTTTCCATGGTACTGAACTTGTCATTCGATATTTCTTTACATAAAAAGTAAGAATTCAGAAAAAAAAGTGATTCTCCCACAAAGAATTATCCTCACTAATCTCTCAAAAACGCTTAAGATTCAAAAAAATATCGAGAAATCTTTTCAGAAAAACATTTATTGATAGTTTATTGTAATTATATTAATTTAGGATATTATGCAAGATAGCCTAGATAATCAAGTGCAATCAGTTCTTGAAATTCCATATTTCGATGGTGATTTTTGGCCGATTACTATTGAAGAAACTATTGAAAGTATGTTTTATTATTGATAATAAAAGTTAAATTCTATTTGATTATATGTTAGAACTTGGTCAAGAAGAAGATCGAAGAAAACAAGAGGTTGAAACAGCACAAGCTATGGAAGATGAAGACTTTGATGATTCTATTGACCCAGAAGAACCAACAGAAGTAAGTAGAAATTGTATTATCTATTTAGTAACTAAAGTCAAGATTGAACCAAAATTAAACTCATATAATCATACATGTAGAATAGAATGAAAATTGAGTTCAACGCACAATAGCATTTTCGATTGTAAAAACAAACAGATAGATTAAAATTGTTTAGTGATATGAATGTTTTATTCTATCGAGTGAATCTACTTCTCTAGTCGAATTTTAATAGACACTATTCAAATCTTGAGTTTACCTATAACATGAATATTTACTTTTTGTTTTAACTTAGATTTCTGGTAAACGTAAATCTGCAAATACATATGAAAAGAAAAATTTGAAGAAAATGGCAAATCAACAAAAACTAGCAAAAAATCAAATGGCAAATTGTACTAATTTACTATCTATAATATTTTCAACTATGGAAACATATAAAGAGGTAAATCATTAAAAAAAAACCAAATTGTTACAGTTGGATTTTGTTGATTCTAACTTTCATTTGAAAGAATCAAAAATTTCTATCACCATCATACCTCAATTTATGAGATACTGCCTACAAGCATATATGTTAGCTCAATCTTTTATCTCATACTAACTGTAGTTTTCCGAAGGGATTAAACTGACTTTGATTGCTCTCTTCTAACTTGCATCTATATGATTCTTTAGGCATTTTTTGTTATTCGTCTTAATAATCAAATAAAATCCTATCCAGCAGTCAATGATACTGATGCTCGAATTCAATGTAATCTAATGGACACGCGAGATGTATTTTTAAATTTTGCTTATAATAATAATTATGAATTTTCTTCATTACGTCGTGCAAAATTTTCAACAATGGTTTTATTATATGAATTACATGTATCAACTACAGAGAAATTTACATATAATTGTAACAGATGCCAACAACTATGTGATATTTGTTATTACTGTACAGTATCTGAAGATTTTGATTTATGTGAAAAATTTTATAACATGCAACTCAAGCATGAACCAAATTCATTAAACAATAATTATAAATCTATAGCAAGTTCACAATTACAACAAATACAATCAGTGCAACATTGTATTGAAGCTTTATTACATGCAATTAATTGTTGTACGGTGAACTGTGTTAATCGTAGTTGTTTTCGTTATAAACATATTTTACAACATACAAAAGATTGTAAAGAAAAAAATCGTCAATGTAATGTATGCAAACAAGTTATTTTTCTTTGTCGATATCATGCTAAAAGTTGTATGGATCAAAATTGTCAAGTACCATGTTGTACTTATTTGAAATCTGAAATACAAAAACAACGAGTAACTTGTTTACAAACAGATCGACGTTGTATGGAAGTTATGATGATGTAACAAAGAGAAACATATATATAATGCAAATACAAACATAAGATAAATGACTTGTGTTATAGAACTGTATATCTGAATAAAATCTCATTTGTTCTTCATTGATTATATTTATGTAAATGTGATTTTGAAAGTTAAATAAAATAAATCAAGAATATTCACGTCATAATAGTCAGATATTTTATTTATTTTAATGATTTTTTTTCGCAAATATGTAGCATTTAGTTAATAACTAGTTGTTATTATTCATTCCAAAAGCATAAAAATGCCAAGAAGTCAAAAATAAGACAACACTATTTGCACATTTAGTTTTTCTATCGAACTATATAGTATTTTGTTTTCTTTGCTGGTTTTTATGCACGTCAGAAGGAAGGCATTTGACAGATGATAGCGGTAACCAGGAACTTCGCCACTTAATCAAGAACATTTGATTTTTTGATTTGAAAAACTTATCATTTTCTACTGCACAAATGAAAAGAAACATTAGTGTATTATAAAAGTGAGTCTAACTCAAAAGTGATCCTTATTCATTTTTCCAATAAAAATTTGGAATTGAAGAAGACTGAATTTGAGCCATGTATTCAAAATTTGTTTTACGATTGTTCAGTAAATTGTATTTCATAAAGAATCTTCTACTACAGTGTAATGTTTTATAAATCATGACACAAAATATAGCACATGCAACACATTTTAACAAGGACATGTCAAAAATAATTTCTCAAGATTTATTTAAAATTTCAACAGAAATATAGATTCTTCTGCGTTCTATCATCTGCACTTGAGCTAACCAAAAATATCAAGATTCCTTTCTTTTTATTACAAGTCTGTGTCTACGATATTGAACTTGTTAGGTCAAATTCTACGGCCGATTAGAATTTCCTAAAAGATTGGCTAATACGCAATGCCATCAGTGATATAAAAATTGAAATTATGATTTTCTTAAGTGTTTTTAACTATTTTCAGTTTTCATCATTCAAGAGGAAAGATTAAGAGCATCGAAATCTTATTGGTCAGTAAATCACTGATCAGTTAATCTTTCGATTTACACAAGGCCGGCATTCATGTCTAGCTTGTTCTTTGCAACGTTTAGCTATGTTGTCTGAATATTTGAAACATGGTTACTAGGATGCTGAGAAATATAGAGATAAAGGCAAATCAGTTCAAATTCAAAAGCCGAATACCACCATTCCACTCGGCACGATAAATTAGTCCTATGCTTCTTCATCTCATCGCAAGTCAATATTGGTAATGGAGTCAGCTTTTTAATCTCAAAAGGACTAAAACTTTCTGGCAAATAAAATATATTTTTCGAAAATTTCATCAAGAAGCCTCAAAAGTCCATGAGACGGGTGTGGGTGTGAGTCTTCTCTCTAACTATATCCACACGCACACCCTTTCGTCGTCCAGAGATAGTAGTTTATCAGACACTACTGTCGAGCAAAGAGAGCAACGGCTATTGATGTCAATATTCAGTTGAAATTGTTGAGTCAAACTTTGCCCTGAAAAATTGTTACTCTTCGTGTTGATTGAATGGTGTAAGACAGTCGAGTGAATTAAGGCATTGGCTGATGTCAAGGTTCTTTTTTTTTCTTATTCATAAAAGCGTTTGACTACAACTTCAGCAGTGTCGCAGAAAAGTAAGATTCAGAACAAAATATGTCATTAAAGTTAAAGCAAATTCGATATACAATTACTTTATCTCTCGAAAAGAAGATAGATAAATCCACGAGAAAAACAACATACACGCATACGCGGCAGTTCTAATGACCGGCAATAGTAACTATCACTACTTGAATGATTTTGCCTTGCTTCGAAAAAACATACGTCTCATCATATCGTACATTGAAGTGTTCTTCATTACGAAGTCGCACACGAGCATCGCCATCAATCGGTAAATATTCGACAATACGAACCGAAGTCTTTGGATCGGAAAATTGCTTTTCGAGGAGTTTTCTTATCTCATCTTTTGATCGGCACGCAATTTGTTCATTCCATACCACTTCACAGTTGGGATCGAAACACGTAATAGCTTCATCGATGTTGTGCGCACATATAGCAGCAAAGAGGTTTTCGCAGATTTTCTTGTATTGAGACAATAACGATGACGACATGGTTACTTGTACAAAACGTTGAAATAGAAAGAATAATACAGTTGATCAAGTAAGCATTTATTTTTCATTACTGAAGCATGAAAAGCACACAGTTACCGAACAGGATGACTCTTTTCTTTTGCATTAATAGCCTTTCACAAGACAATCGACAACAACATATGAAATAGGACACATCTGCAAAAATTTTACATTTTTTATGTATTTTTTTTTCTGTAGCTGTACGCTAATGATATACAAAACTTTGGGAAAGAATCAAGTCTATTTTACGATGTTTCCACACAACAATTATTTTAAAACGTGAAGTTTCGCATGAAGAAAATTTCTGCGAAAAAAAGTGTTTCCGAAACGCGTTAGAACTAGCAGGTTTAATACGTTGCACACTTGCTGAAATAAACGCTAAGAAATGATCTTTCCTTAAGGCGTTTTCCACACAGATTGATCTTTTGACTGAGGGTGATCTGCGTAGACACTTGTGACTACAATCGGAACTCTTCACTAATCATAAAAATCTTTTTTTTTCTCTTTATAATATATCTAAGAAAAAACATCACTACACTGAAAAACTTCACTTACTAATTCTCAATTTCTTTTACATTCAAGACGGTCTTGGCTTAACGCCGCGACATACATTTTGTCAGAGTAAAAGCACTATCGAATGCGTTTTTATCTCAAACAAACGCAGTTTGCTGCGTTCTTATCTCTCTTACAACTCTCACTTCAATCAATCTTTAGCAACCTACCCAGCATCATTGATCAATAAACGTGTTTCAGGAGAGCACGATACCTGCATTCAGACCCACACTCTTTTCTTACTCTGTACAGCATATTTCTCAAAGATTTGATTATGTCATAGCCTTAGAGCCACATAGAGACGGTAGTAAGGCTTGTTGACTAATCTCCATTTCGTCTGAGTATTAACTTTGTGCTACACATTGTATAGCTAGGGAAATATTAATTACTATCGGTCAACAACGCGGTTGATTGCGGATTTTTTTAACAAACTTTTTGTGTAAGAAAAGGTAGATGCTCAAATAAACTGTTTGCAAGTACATTTCCTTTCAGAGAGAAAGATGAAGAGATAGAATGCTCATCGATTATTCTGCTATTTGCTGCCTATAGACGAATAATGAGATCTAAAAAACATACTGAACTGTCATTATAGAATAAAAAAAAATGTGAAGTTTTGCTTTCTTTGTTTTGAAACAGAAATCAATCACATAATTTAAAATAGGAAATAGTAGAGGTATCAATAATGTCACTATTGCAATCTGCTCTCATTTATACACTTTTTCTGTCTTGCTCACCGGATCAACAAGCTCAAGTCTTTGTCTCATCGCCATTTCAAGGCAAAAACATCATACTATTTGTTTGCAATCATTGCTTTTCTTCCACAATAACTCTTTTTTAGTCACTGTATTGATAGAAACATACTTTTCATTATTAAGACCGATGCAAACAAACTTTGCTCAGCAAGAACGGCAAACAAAAAAGGCTAGTCAAATAGTTTCCTTTCAGAACAGGTGGAATTCTTTGTTTTTTTTCTTAAAACCGATTATTAATGCCCAACTAGGTGAACTACTAAAGTAACATATTTCTTCTCAGTGTCAGCTAGAGCGAAAGCGACCCATGCAGAAAAAAACTCACCCACGCCTTCATTATAAAGTAACCATAGCGCAGCTTTATTATGGAAAATAACGATGTTTGATTTGCCGACTCTTCTTCTGTCCCTTTCTCGGAAAACATTCTGGGAAAAGATTTGTTTTCTCAGCCAATAAAATGTAATCGAGATATGAAAGGCATTTGAGAAAAGTTTAAGAATATTTTGCGTCATTGCAGTTTTGGACTCAAAGAAGAAAGACAATTCACTTCAATCAATACTATGCATAGATGCCACTGATAACAACAAGATAAACATTGATAAGTATTGCTTGAAACTTAACTGCATTAAGCAGGGTACGGATCAGAGACCAAAACGTGTCAAGAAACATCCGACTCGACTCTACTCAACTCATGCTCGACTCAATACGAGCCGAGTCGAGTCGAATCGCAAAACCTCGATTCACACAACGATTTTCAAAATTATATTATGTTTGATAACAATAATAAGTAACAGATTTAACAAACTTCACAAGAATGAATCAAGAGAAAAAAACTTTAAGCTGCATTAATTGCCTCCTGTTCTCAATGAAACGGAAGAAAATCAAATTATTGACCGTTGAAGGATCAAGGGTGTGAGTGTGGGGTGTGGATGAACAGAAAACCTACGCCCACACCCTCGGCTTCTTCTCTTTCCATTGACATAAATTTAGTCCTTTTCAGACATTTGTGAACAAAAAGTAACTCAATTTGAAACAACGTCCAATAAAAATCGTTCAACACAATGTGACTGCTTCACATTGTTATATGCCCAGTTTCGCTATACTTCAACATTTAGGGATGAAATTTTCTATGAATATAGCATAGACGCTGCCTGTAATTTTGATGCAAGCCGTGCCTAAAAAGCTAGCTTTATAAGAAGGTTACATGTAAAGCAAAATCGTTCAAAAAATTTTGTCCGGCATAGTATATCGGTGTATATTTAATGTGACTTCTTTGTTGTGATACTCTGCCATCCACATAACATCCTAAGAAAATGGTAGTGACTACCAATAATAGAAATAAGGGTTTAAAGTGAAATACGAGCTCGATTCTTCATGAATTGAACAAAATGAAGAATGATATCGAGGAATTAACACGGCAACAAGCATCATCAAAATTTCTGCTAATTAAACAAGATTATCCGAATGATATATCTTCAATATGAGTGTGCGTATCAGAGAAAGAAATATCATCACCCACATCTGTTCATATATAATGCTAAAAAATGGTTTTTGTTATAGGCCGATAGTATTGATCAAAAAACCATTTTGATACATCGTAGATAATTCCGTTTTTGGAAATACCTAAATAGCATTTTGTGGGCATCTTTTATAACCGTTTCGCATCATTATTTTTATTGCGATTTGAAAGCTTTATAATGCCATTATACCATATTTGTCCTAACTTGGGTTATTCCGTTATAATGGCTACCAATAAATAAAGAAAAATGTTTTTCTTTCCTTGATCTTTAGGACGACGGAATGGAGTGAATTATAGTTCGATGTTACATTTGCTGGCATCAATGCACAATCGAAAGTGTGTAAATTATCTGGCAAAAGACAAGTAGATCTCTTTTGTTTAATACGTTGCGGATTGATCATTGGAAGAAGGAAAAAGCAAGAATAGTATAGAGTCAAAGGTATGCACAGAAAATGCATCTTTGAATTACTGATTATAACAAATTTCGAATGAATTCTTTCAAAGGTAACAAACGAGTTGTTCTTTGAGAAAAAGCATCTTGTTTCTTGTCTTACTAATCTAACTATTCTCGATTAGGAAAAAATGTTTTATCCGCATCTCTTCTCAAAACAAGCAGAGACACTTTCAACCATAAGTAATTTTTCTGTGTGACGGACAAGATCTTTGTGAGTACCTTTTGTCATGAAAAGAAGATTGTTGATGGAATGTTTGAGACAAGAAAAGGGATTCCTGTATGATTCTTTCGATTCTGACAAGTTGAATAGCTCTTCTCTTCGCTGATGACTGCGATCAATGAATGTAATCTTCATTTCGATGAAAATGAGGTCTATCGCTTGGTCTTTGAAGATAGATGAGGAACGAAGCTGGATTAACATGGACTAGTTCCAAACATGGATCTATATCTTGCAATAATAAGAGATTCATATTTTTCATGAAAATTATTAAATATTTTTCACTTGTTGTATCACGGTAAAGTTTGTCCATTTGAAATCTGTCACAAGTCGTACGTAGTACCTCTTGTTCGTCAACATAGTGTGAGAGAGCGAAGATATCACATCGAGAGTCGAAAAGAAATATACATTATACAATCAATATCTTTAGTAATGATTGTTTTAAGTCACGGGAGAGAGAGGGAGAGAAAAAGAGAATGCAATTACTCTTAGAACAATCCAAATTGAATCGTTTAGACTAAAAATAGTCTTCAAGAGCGTGAATACAGTTTCAACCATTTGATCTTGAAGAAATCACTTCTATGATTATAATATCTGTTTTCATTTTGTTTCAATTGATTTGAAAAACTTTGACTCTCTTCTATTGGCACCACCACCAATACTATAACAAGACGATTCCTGTGCTTATCGCAACTGGTTGATTCATTATTCTTCCTTTTTTTTTCTCTTTTACAGGCAAACACGTCGTCACATGCGAGAGAAAGTAAAAGAAAGAGAGGTAAGAGAGACTGCAGGAGTTCTTGCTGAGAAAAGAGTTTTACAAATTTTTGCTTGGAAGTACACTATATCCTTCCGCTCTTTCCCAATATATGAGTTTCATCATCAAAACAGTAGGTAAAAAATTCGTGAACGGTTGATATGCTTAATCATATCCTAAAGATATGATGCATTTTGATTTATTATTATTAATTCAAGAAAGATACAATTATTCATTCTGAAATTAAAAAGCATATCGTCTGATTAATTTGAGCAACGTGTGCCTCCAATATTGGATGGCGTACTTGATATTAAGGCAATCAATGTTTGTAAACCTATTTTGGCTTGATTTATTTGCTCCATAGATATTTTGCCAACATTAAATGATGTCATAAATTGATTTTGTTGTAATTCATCATAAATAGCATTTAATGGTTTAACAATTGATTCAAAATCAACCACTATTGTCATTGCATCTGCAAATGATGTTGATTTACTAAGTGATGTCCGTAAATGACCAACAGTATTTGTTAATTTTTGATTGATTGATAATATTATATGTTGTTCATTTGGTAATGCCATTAATGAATTTGTTAAGTGATTTAATTGGGAATTTAAATTATATAATTGTGTATTATATATGGTTAAATCATTTTGAATTGAATTTAAATCTCTCTTAAATGTCTGAACTTGATTTCTAAAGGAGGACAATTCATTTTTTTTATTTTCAACATTTCTTCTTGCATTATCAACTTGTTGAAAATTAACAACACTACAAACAGGTTTTACTATATTATCAACTATTGCACCAGCTGCTGTATTGACTGCTGATTCTATTGCACCACCTGCTGTATTAAGTGCTGATCCTATTGCGTTGCCTGCTGTATTAACTGCCGATTCTATTGGTTTTAAAACTGAATTTTGAATTGAATTCCATACGTTGCCTAGAAATCGTTTTCTTCTTCCAAATAATCCAGCACATAATTGAGCATCTTCAACTTCTTTTTCAGCACGATGTAACGCATTTTCAGCATCTGCTACTGAAGCTTCAACTCGTCTTACAGATTGCTCAGCTGCACTTATTTGAGATTGTTTCGCTTGAATTCTTCCATTCACATCTTGAATTTGACCATTAGTACGGGATATTTCACTTTCCTTGGCTGCAATATCGTTCATAATAGAGGCTAGTTTTTGGTCGACTTTAATTCGAATATTGTTACTGGCAGTTACAGAAGTATCAAGATTTTTCAGTAACTTTTCTACTGCACAATAAAGACTCGATGCGAAAGCTGTAAGTGCACCATCATTTGTTGTTAATGAGTTTAAATCAGTAGTTAATAATTGATTGAGTATATTTTGTTGCAGTGTTGTGTATACACTTTGAAACGGTGGAACAAGATGTAGAGACATTTCCGCTTGATACCAAATGTCGCTTCCATAACAAACGTAACCATATAAAAGTACTAAGATTATACACAATTTCATTTTCTAAATACAAATAAAAAATAACGTATCTATTCATTCCTGTTAGTGTTGTATCTATATTTGAAACGTGAGTGTCTTAGAAACCTAAACAGGATAAACTAAATACTGTATGTAAAAAAAAAAGATTTCATGTGGAGAACGTTCGATACGAAAGAGATTGAGACTTTGTAGATCTCATCTATCGAAATTCAAGACTTGACTACATTTTTTTCACAATGCAAGTTACACTTTTAATATTTTTTTCCAAACAATCGAGTTTACTTGAGAAACTTTATGAAACCAGTTCATAGCTCAAAACCTTGCAATATGAATATTCTTTTATTTTTCATGGATAGATAGGTTGTGGATGTCGCCCCGAAACTAGATTCCAATTCTCGCAAAGATGGAAAACAATTCAATAGATGTCAGATACAATAATCATGAAGTAAACAAAACCCGAAATGTTCGCACTTTTTAGGAAGAAATTAAGCCGAGTTTTCGTTGATCTAAATTTTATAAACATGCATTACTATTCAAAAGAAGAGAAAATGTTTAGCCTAGCCATCATGATGCATTATATAATGAATTCAGTACTAATTTAATAAAAAAACTGTAGTGTTTGCTAAGTTTGTTTATGCATAAAAATGTTTTTGTCACTGATACATACGAGTTTTGATATATAAAATTTCAACACATTTATCTATCGAAAAAATTATGGTTCGATATATCATGTTTTCTACTTGTATACATGGGTTACGCACTAATTTGATCTTTAATTTGCATGAAAATGCTGTAAAAGGATGCTTGAGAAAAACTCAATCCAAGACGTTTATATCTTCTTATAGCCCGTCGCAATTCCAGTAAGCATACATAATGTATGAAGATTTTCGCTCGCTGTCTGCGACGATTGCTGTATTGAAGGTAGAAAATACTAACAATGTGCCCTCTTCTTGTGTTACAAATCTCTCCAATATAGTATCTTGACCATTACTTTTCTCCTTTAATGAGAAAAATACAAAAGAATTTTTTTACATACAGTCAAAATAAGGGAATATAAATGAAATATTGTGAAATTTCAATCTTCGTTACTTTCCAACCTAGAAAACGGCATTTTAAGTTCCATAAGAAATTCTTTTTAACTCAGCTAGAATTCAATATTTGATGACTAGATTTATTTTATTTTACCGCAAATTAGCTTTTCTATTATTTTCGAACAGAAAAAGTCTAATATTTTTATTTCCTCTTGAGCTAATGCGAAGAAATCAAATATTCCCTTTTATGGACGAATTTTAATAAAATCAAGTTTAGTGTCAGAAAATACATTTAAAGCGAATATATGATCCACGAGAAGAAAGATGATACTTCAGACCACAAGCACATACATTAGGACTGCACTATTATGCATGGCAATATGTTTAAATTAGTTTATTTGGTGTGCTTTGACTTAGAAACTAATAAAGATTGAAATTTCATAGTATAACACTTATATTCCTTTATTTTTACTGTATGTAAAAATTGTTCAATATTAAATCTATGCTCGTTTTAGTCTTTTCATGATTATTAATACAGCATCTCGCTGTTTATCAAATAAAGAGTTACCGGCTGAGTTTTGGTTAACTTATAGAAAGTTTCAAAAAATACGATTTGTAGAATATAAAACAGTTTCAAAATTATTCACAAACTGCTCTATTATTTTTTAATTGTTGACTAAAATGGTGAGTAGTGCCCTCAACTAAAGCATCTCTAACATTTGATTTCTATGTAATTTAAAACATAAAATATCAAGGTTCAAAAGCACTTTCTTCTGAAATAGTGAAATACTTTTATCAAAATACTTTTTGTTCAATATATGTTCAATCAACAACAGACAAGTGTTGAGATAATAAAGTGTTATAAACTTTCTAGTCAGACAGATATATGTAGGTTGTTTAGCGACAAAATTTCCTTTAAGTATCAATTGAATATGGTCCGTTTAAAGTGACAATTGTCAGTAAAAATAATAGGATTTATCTCAACTTTTAAAATATATATTATAAAGTAATAAACTTTATTTACTTGAGACGTTTCCTTCTGTACTACAGAACTTTATAAGCAAAATTATCAGTGAGCATAAACAGTTGTAGAAATAAAACAGAAGGAAAATGTAGAAAATACAAGATGGACGGAGAAAGAATTCAATCGTATGAAGAGTCATTATCAAAATATGTAGAAATGAAAACATTTTGGAGAGTAAAGATCTTTTCTATGTTTAATCGCAAACGAATTCATAAGTAAATTCTTGTTTATTATTAGTTTAGTTGTATTAGATTCAATTATCCATACTTGAGAACTTCAATCGATAGTATGGCCATTTTAAACCAATGTTGGACAAAGTTTTCTAAAAAGCGTTGCTTAACACAGATTTTGGGGTGCTCTTCTTCTTTAGGGGCTCGTTACCATTCGCAAATAATGATTCTCGGCCAAAAAATCAATTTTAAGAAAAGCATATGCGAAGATAGCCTGAAGTGTCTACTTTCAGAATCCGTATGACTTTCAGTCCTAGAAGGGTTTATCATGAGATTCGAGCAAGTTTTCTAAGCACCTCGAACAACTTCAAAAAAGAGCTTTTTCCTAGAATGTTTATGTAATTATATTTTTTCAGATTCAGTAGATTTGTACAACAAACTTTTCTCAGCAAACTAAGACCTTTCATAACTCTGTATGATCTTGTGTCGATAAGCTATCAGCATTTTCCTACAAGTTCTAAAATGGACCAACCAATTCACAGTACTTTCTGTACGTAAGAGTTACACCTGAAGTTTTTCTCAACGCTTCTTTATATACTTCAAGATAGAAAGTTCGAGTTTGTTTTATTTTAAACTAGACATCTAACTACATGGACCGTCGGACGCCGAGTTTTCAATTAAGTTGTAGTGTTTGTCTAATGGAAGGCTTGTAAAAAAAATAGAAAGCATTACAGTAGACAGATTTTTGAGATAGTTGATTGGCTAAAAAACAAACAAAGGCTTAATTGAAAACTCGGTGTCAGTCAGTCCATCTAGGAAGGTGACCAATTTATCATAAAACAAACTCGAACTCTTTAACATTAAGTATAGAGAACAATTTATCATGAAGTGTGATTTATTATGTTGTAGATAGTTCTCAAGAAACCTGCTGGCTCTTAAGAAAGTTTCAAAATAGGTTTTCTTCATGATTGATTCCACGCTAATCAAGTCCAAACGAGTAAAACTGATTTGTATCTATCATTTAGTTACTGAGTTGTTGTCTGTTTATGCTCCTTATAAGATACTAAACCTGTAATCTTCCAAAAAGCGAATGTATTCGACAATTTTTTGAAACTTGTAAGTTCGCTAACTGACGAAGAGAACATTTAAAACTACTATATGCTCAGATTGTCGAGCATATTTCTGTCGTCTAGCAGAAAAATAAAAAAAGACGAATATTGAAGAATTGTTCAAGATCTGATACAAGTAGATTCTGCAATAGTTTCTCTAAATCTGAGCATGTAACGGCAAAAAAACACCGATACCATGATCAGGACCAAAAGAATTCGTTCTGCATATCTTTAGTGAGAACGATTCGGAATTCACTTTTAAATATAAAAGAATAATACTTAATAAGCAAAAATCAACCTTACCCAAGGTTTACAGTCGTAGAAAATGATGTTAACTGATTGCTTGATTAAAAAATCGTACGATGAAGTTTTGGCTTTTATCTTTCAGCTATACGATGATAACAGCCATCTGTTATTAACCAGCAATGTTGAATATATTGGGAATCCGAGCAGGTGTGGGTGAATATTTCTTTCAGAATATTTTTTTTTCGCTTAGGCATCTAATACTAGAGTCTTTGTTGAAGAAAAATAGAAACTGGGTGGATGTGGGTGTGGATGAGTTTAGGTGGAGGATTTAGGAGTGAGTGTGGTTGTGGAGAACACCCACTCCCTAAAGTTGTTTTTAATATTTTAAAGCAATCTCTCGAAATTTTGCTTTCATATAAATGTCGAAGATGCCAAACAATCTCTTCAATTATCTGTTGACTTTTTTTTTTATTCTTCTGCAAGTAGAAAAAAAGCAGCAGAGATAGTTCGAAGGCATCACTCTTGATGTGCTTCTCAGATTTTTTTTTCTTTACAAAAGAAAACAGCTACTATACATGAGCTTTGTGCAAACAGATAAATCTCACGTGGTAAAAATAGGTGACAGAATTATTTGCGTCAAACAAAATTTTCATTGTTGCTTGTGAATAACTCATACTGCCCAAACAATGCATTTTATCATTATGAGAAAATGAGAAAAGTCAGGGTATACTTCATGAATATACTATAGAAGAGATAATTATTCATTGATCGACTTTGTTCTATCTGAATATGATAATAATCAAGTATTTCTTCGAACTTCTAGGACAATTCTTACTCGTCGATTTTCAATCTTAAAGAAAATTAGCGAATTTTTCGTCTCAAATGAAATACCTGAATCATCATCTATACAATCGTCATTGCTAAAAAGTTTATTCGCATAAGAGACGGATACTATCGGAAGAATAAACAATTATTTATCTTTATTTCAGATTCTAATAAACAAATGGCTGATTTTGTGGTATAGTATTGACATTCAATTGATCGACACTATCTGACCAGTTTTTCTAAGCAGAAGAAGCCGAATTTCGTCAATTGTTCTCCAGTGCACGTTCAGTCTTGATCTTGACTGGCACAGGAATTTCTGCAGAATCTGGCGTCCCTACATTCCGCGGGGCTGGTGGCCTCTAGCGACAATTTAATGCCACGGTTCGTTTTCATTTTTATTTGAAACAATTTAATCAATGATATGCTTAAATTGTTAGAAGTTGGCCACGCCAACTGCTTTTGCTCGATCATCATCACTTGTTTCGGAATTATATCATTATCGACAAGAACTTATTCGAACTAAAGAATCAAATAAAGTTTTGAAACCAAAATTATATTTATCTATCCAGTACATATAATGGACTTCTTTTTAGGCTCATTTGACATTAGTCGAAGTCGAAAAACGCTTTGAAAAAGAAGGAAAACAACTTTTTATCATCACTCAAAATGTCAATGGTTGGTTTTTGCTTTTTTTCGATTAGGACTTCAACGACGAGCAGGTTCTCGTAATCTGATTGAAATGCACGGTTAGTAAATATTCGAATGATTGATTTTTTTTAAATGAAATGATATTTACCCGGTAATATTTTCATGACTCGATGTACATCATGTGGCTTTATTGAAGAAAATAACCACAGTCTGATTTGTGAAGCTCTGCGGAATCGAGGGTAAAAACGTTTCTTTTTCTTTCGCATCCTAGATGTTGATCATTACCAAATATATTAGATTACCCAATGAGACTGGTCCTGAGTTTCCAGTAAAAGATCTTCCTAGTTGTTGTCAATGTGGATCTCTTATTCGTTCTCATATTGTTTGGTTTGGTGAATCACTTTGGCCTGATCCTTTACAAAAACATCGATGAAGAAATTGCTCGTTGTGATCTTTCTTTTTAGCGGTATGCTAACTTTCTTTTTTTTTCTCGTCAAATTATTTCTACAGGGCTGATTGTAGGTAGGAACATCTGCGCTTGTATATCCGGCCACAGCCTATGCTTTGATTGTCTCAAGACTTGGTATTCCTGTTGTTGAAGTTAATATTGAAAATAAACCAGTTACAGCTAATTTGACGTGAGTTCTCTCCTCTTACTCAATAGTTCGATTGTCTTTTTTTTATAGTTTTCATTTTGAAGGTGCCGCTGGCGAAATACTTCCAACACTTTTGTCACTCGTTACGAATGATATCTAATAAGATGAAGAACGAATCTTTTTTATCAAAGATGTAGTCTTTGTCATAAAATAATCCAGAAAAGACAATGTAGGACTTTACAATAAATGTAATATTATTGAGGCTTAGTTATGTAACAAGCAGGTCTAATTAGAGATACTGAAACAAAGTTAAATTGCTTCTGTTATGGTATACATGCAAAAAAGACTTAATTACATTTTGCGAAACAACTCAGGTCAATGAGGGTGTCGCCAATAGAGTAAAAGAAATATTGTTTCATAATTGAAGACCATCTTCAAACCGACATGAGAGAATGAAGCCATAAAGACTGTATGCCAAATAATATTTTCGTATCCCAGTATACGTATGACTCATTTTGATTATTCTGTGTTGCAATACTTTTGGCACATGTTTTGAATAAACCACGTACTAAATAAAAAAATTTATTTTCTAATGTTATTGGAGGGATCTTGAAGTACTAGGATGAATGTATAGTTTCTACCATCAATCACTCTATTGCAATACAGCAATGTATGATAATACTAACGATGAGATTGACATGATTGATTGAACGACTGATGTGCAATGTTGATACCTATAGTATAATTTTAGGTAATTCATTTTCCTCAAGGATGATAAAGTAACCAAGGAATCATCTGTTTCTCTTTCTGTCAATATCTTCAGTATATGAAGTTGTCGCTGATGATTATCGAGAGCTTAGAATGGTTTATGAACGAGGGGAAAATAATCCGGTGATGGAAAGCATCGCATGAAATTTCATGATATAAGTCAAATCGGAAGTATTTAGAAAATTTCAGTTTGAAAACTTTCTGATTCTATGAATCGATGAAAGGTTCTTCAATGGTATGAATCTTGACCTTTACAAAAACAAAATATTGATCATGTTTGGCTAGAACAGCTTCTCTAAAAAGCAACTAAGCATTTACAAGAAACAAAAAATGACTCCAATC